AGCTCGTAAAGCAGAAGACGACGACGGCACCGTCTTAGCCAAGATGAGGGCCAGGATGCAACCGGGCGACCTGTGGGCAGCCCACAGTGATGCGCACGTGCTTAACCTCTGACTTTGTTTTCGACCATCATCATCAGGCTCAGCTCCTATATCTTCTTCTGCCTCACCTCTGGCCCAGCTACGTCGGCGGCGGCAGCTTCTTCAAGTCAGAGGAGCCGTTTTGGAGGAGCTGCTGCCGTAGTAGCCTGGCGATTAGCCGCGGATCGTTGTTTACTGGGAACCGAGCGCGGAGGCCGTGAGAGGTTGTTTATGGCCCGCCCAGGCAACGCCCCCTTGGCTGGGAACCGAAAGGAGGAGTATAACTTGCAGACTTTGGTTAAGTCCAGGGTTAAAGGCGAAGGGCCTGGGCGGGCGGGGAAGGTTATGGGTTCATTACACATATGGACAGGCTGATTATTTGACTAATTGTTAAGGCAGAGAAAGAACTTTGAATATAAACATTTGAAGTATTTAAAAAATAATAATTAGTAACTAAAGGAATATAAATTTCATCATTTAGTAAAGTAAATGTGTTTTCTTAATACTCCTTAAGTAAATTTTATGAATCCACAGATGTTAGTCATTATTACCATGCAATAATTGCATATTTATCCACTTGACTGAACCGAAATAATTGATTACTTCAGTAATAACTTAATCAATTTTCCTTGCATGCCAATGAAGTAACTAACTTGCATAACTTCCATATTTAAATTTATTTGAAGAGGATTTTCCAAGTCAGTGAACTTCAATGCAAAGTCACAATAGAAAGGAAAGGAGACTCGCCCACGCAACTCCTCCAAGAAGGACATTCTCTGGCGCATCTAGACAATGCAATCTATTTTGTGATCCGCTGACAGGCATTTGTAATGCGAAGGAGTGGCGTTCATGGCGCAGTGACCAGTGGCCACCAGCCAGGACTTGCAGGACAATCGCCGCCGCCTGGCTGGCTCCGAGCCAAAGCGAATTTACTGCATTTTGAGGACAGCTCGTAAAAAGAGGAAATGTGGCCGCTTTAATTGCGCCACAAACTGCGTTGGGAAATTCAATTTGCCAACAAAAAAAAAAGGATAAAAAGGAAATAAAAGAAAGGCAACATTTTCAATCTGTTCGTTTCATAAATACGCAAATTTGCCCATTGAGGCGGATGCAAATATTTTGTCAAGACACTTCCATTTAGCATAGGCAAAGTGCACAGAAAAAATCAGAGAAACTGTCGCAAGGACAGCGTTATCCCTCCCAACACCATCATCAGCATAATCATCATCATCAACATCATCGTCATCATAGTTTTCAGCTAGGATTGCACTTGTGCTAGTGCCTGTGCATTTTTGTAGCCGACTTACAGGAATCGCGGCGCCAAAAACTACTAAAAATAAAGTTTGCATTTTGTCTATTTGTTTCCTGTCGCCTTGCCTCAGTCCCCTTGGTCCCTTTGCAACGACTTTTCCGCTTTCCCGCGAGCAGTATAAACCCAGAAATTGTCATAAAGACAGGTTGACAAGAGCGGCAAGTAAGAGCTGGAGATGGAAATAATGTTTTTTTTTTTTGTGGCTTGGTTAACTCTTTGAAATTTAGCAAACTAAATAGTAAACAATTTTTATAGAAAACAGTCCAGATGGAAATATGACTGATATCAAAAATATATTTTATTATAGATTTATTTTTATAACATTTGGTTTAATATAAAACACAAAAAAAAATATAAATATAAAATATAAATATATATAATAAAATAAAAATTAATAAAAAACAAACTGAAAACAAAAAATTCAGCTCAATCATTAGGTGAAATAAAGAAAATATATACAATATTTTGACTACAAATTATTTTATTTTGTAGTAATTCTTAAATTTTTAAAATTTAAATTGTATCAATAAATTTCTTTATAGTTTTGTTATACCCTTGCAGGGTATTATAATTTATTTACTTTTTGGTGCTGTTAAATGGGCTGTAATATAAAATATTCTAAAATAAATAAATTGGAAAACAAGACTCTCCGAACTTAAAGAAAAGATGAAAAAAAAATCTATTTTTTGGTTTTTAAAATCTACGTTTTATTCTCCCAGTGTAAATAAAGAATGTGAACTCCACAGTAGCGCCCCTGCCGTCTCAAATGCCAAGTAGCTCGTGCAACAGCGTTGCCAGACTTTTCGGTCCGAGCTACCAGCGCTGCCAGACGCTAGAATTTTGTTCGCGAGTTGCGACAAAACACTGCTTGATCGAACTGCTTACTTTTTCTCTTTTCTTCATGAAGTGTCCCCCCCCCCACCGGCCATTTAGGGGAGCTCCTGTAGGCGAAACAGCAGTTCCTGGCAGAGATCACCTTCAAGGAGCTGGAGAATTCCCTGGACGAACGCAGGGAAAGGGAATTTAAGGCCACCTGTGATAACATATTCGAGGTACTGGACGAGCAAGGCCTGAACGCGGATAATTATGATCTCAAGCAGGAGCTGCTGGAGAAGCTGGATGTGCGGAATCTGAAAGCCACGGTCAAAGAGCAACTGGGTGAAGTCCCGGAGACATCGTGGTCAGAAGAAGAATGGGAAGAACAGCCAGCAGAGGATGTGAAATGTGACTCTATGTACCTGAGCCACCAGTTGAACTTATCCGATGCGGATGCCAGAGGAGCAGGAGTGCGAAAACACCGACTTGGGGTACAACTTGGGGCGCCTGAACTGCCTTATGAATGCCAGTGAGTCGCTTCTAAAGACCGAACCTGTTGAGATATTCGTTTCTGAACCGGAAACCGCAGGAGAAGAGAATCCACCTACAGCTGAAAGTGAGGTATATCCATTAAGCTCAGGGGAGAGTGGAGAAAGCCTAGTGCCTAGTGTAGAACCAAAAGTAAAATCCAAACTAGACGATTTGGAGATCGATTTGGATGATTTTCTGGAGACAATGGATGAGGAAATCAAGTTGACCCAACAAAAGAAGGAGGCGGAGGTGCTTAGTCAAGAGGAGCTGAAGGATTTCCTAGAACCCATAGCTAAAGAACTGGAGCTAATGGACCACTATAATGCCCCGCAGTCGTCCATTACTGAAGCGAAAGAGAACGAGCCGCTTTTGTTAAAATAAAAGCAAAATTTTTGGAAAATTTCACAAGTTGTCGAGCGAAAGGGAACTTTCCTATGGTTTATGGCTAAGCAGCTCTTCAGGGAATCCTTAAAGCCCATAACGTTACTGTAGTACCGTCAATTTGTCCAATTTTTAAATAGTTTGAAGTGATTTTGTAAATGTTATAAACTTAAAAAAAGGATGTCATTCATTGCTTGCTTCTTCAAAATTGTTTTGTAAGTATAATAGTTGAAGAAAGCTGTATTTAAAAAATATACAAATTGATAAGCACCTAACAAGGTAAAAAAAAAACCATACAAATAAAAATAAATAAAAACTATACGGTTGCCTTCACAAATTGTCTCGCTGCTCTGTTAAAATCCATCTGAAACTCAAGATTTTGGGCCACCAAACTTGTAAATCCTTTACGGATGCAATTTGGAATTAATTATGTCCACCAACTTGACCAACAATCGGAGTTTGCGGAATGGCAAAGCCAGAGCTTCGGGCCCAGCTTATGCTGAGGTTACAAATTCTCATATGTCGCCGCACACAGGACATAGGACACAGGACAGGGCGAACTGATGGACACTTCGGGCCGGGGGATTGACGCAGCGTTAAGACAAGAGCATTTAACGCTTCAGCACGTTTCCAATTCAATTTTCACAGCCGAGACAGGGAGGAGATGCGGGATGGCAGCGCCAAGGAAGCCGAGGCGTTGGAGCGTGCGAAAACTTAAGCAGACGCACCGAGCATGACAAACGAGGCTAAAAGGACAATGCCGGGAAAGGATGGCGATAATGAATGCCAACGGTAAGCGAATTATGGCCAAAAAAGCGGAAGCGCAGTGTTTAATGAAGATGCCTGCAGTAGCAGTGGCAGTGGCAGTGGCGACCGTGCAATAAATCAACAAATTACGCGTGCCAAAATGGGAGAAAAGGGCTGTCTATTGCTATTGTATCTGGCAGATACCGAGATATAAATGCACAGCGAAAAAAACGTATAAAGATTACAGAAGAGATGTTTAATTTAAGGCAATTTTGTAATTGTTTTTGGAATACTTTAGATGATGGAATAATATCCATGGAATATCTTAGTTTAGGTTTGGATTCATTTTTAAAAATGTATTGCGCTGGTATAGAAAATTGAATAAATTATTAATTAATTTCATAAAAACTTAACTAAAATATGATTTAATTAAGTTAAATTTATGTTTCACAGTTTATAGAATTTAATATCGAAAAATTCTCTATCAATTTCGAACTTGTCTATAACTTTTAAGCAATTTTACACCAAATATCACCTTCGTACGCAGTAAAAAAAGTTATATCTCATGGATGTCTATAATTAATGTTAAGATCATAAACGTTTAATTAATAATCTTAAAATCTTAAATAAATGAGAAATATCTTAAATATAGCTGTATTAAATATTATAATAATAGTATAAAATGAGTATTTATAATACACAAAATAATCTATTTTAAATCTAAAACAAATAAATGTACATATTACTTCCCCAATTTTGGCTCTATGTATCTCTCTTACCCATCTACCCTTCCCCGCCAATCTCGGCCATATTTGTGCGCAGAAACAATAAGTGAACCGCTTAAAAATGCATAAATCAAGGCGCAAAACGCAGCCAAGGGAACTGAAACAAAGGCAGGCGAGCAGCAACTGTCAAAATGATAATCGCCAACAACTGTTGAGACTGTCTTGGCCTTATGACAAATGTTGTCGACGAAGAGGGTGGCCCGGCACTCACCACTTACTATATCCATTGTATTCTTCGCACCCAATCATAATCAATGTACGGCGACAAGTCCGAAAAACACATTTTACTTATTAGTTACAGCCTTTCAAAAAGAGAGAGAGAGAGGGGAAGGGGAAGCAAACACACCATAATGGATCAGGGCAGAACTGAACGATTCCAAGCCATCTATCTACTTTTGGCGGCAAGTGTTGGCAGCCAAGAAGGGTTAGTTTTAAAGCTGGTCAACATTTTAGTTTTTTTGGAAATGATTTTTAATTTATTTTATTTATTTTGTATTTTATTTCCTTATATATATTTTAATCAGAAGTTTCTAATGAAATTAAGGAGTCATTTACTTATTTATTATAATTTTATATATATTATATATTTATAAATGTTTTATTTTCGACTCAAACATTAATTAAGCTCAATTACCCAATTTATTTTTGGCTTAGTTATGATCGATTTCAAACTTTAAGCATATACATATAAACTATAATATAGCTTTCTTCCTTGTTTCAATATAATTTCCCCTTAAATTTAGAGACTAAAAGGACGAATTCACATCACTGTCGGCGTGTCATCCCGGTCATAATCATAAAAACAAATGCAAAACGCAAAAGCCAAAATCCGGAAACGACATTCCCCCAATTGTGAGTGTGGATGGATTGTCAACCCCTTAATCCACTTGTTTCCCAAGCTCATAATCCTCTCTTTGACTGATGCCCCTCTGCCCATTATCATAATCATATTGATGGTGGTAGTGGTGGGTGGCTCAGGGTCGTCCAGCTGACCATTTGTGGATATAATTTTCGATATGTTATTGAGTATTTTGCCAGGGACTCAGAGCTGGCAATCGGATTATCAGCGGGACGATTGAAATCAGTCATGGTGATTAATCTTTGGCAAAGTAAACAATAATAGTGAAAGTCATAATAGCAATACAAAGCATTAGAGTTCTTAAAAGGAAGAAGAACTCTCAAACGATCAGCATTAATTTAAGAAATTATTATAAATATATCTTGTAATTAACACTAAAAACAAGCTCAATAAAAACATATTAGTTGATTATATTCTACATAATTTTATTTTCTATATTATTATTAAAAGGCACTGAAGCGTATTAAAAGCTGGTTTTCAAATAACATATCTTTACAAGCGATCGTTAATGCTTACAAACAATGTAGAGAGAAATATTCTCAAATATTACAGCACTTTCAAAACCCAGTTTAGTTTTGTCGAAACCATTTAAAATGCCGCTTTCATTTAGGCTGTGTTATCTTTGTTACCTCTTATTTCTTCTATCTTTTACCCCAGAAGTAAGTAGTAATCACAAGAAAAATCTATTAATTCCAAATTATTATTTTAGATAAGCGCCAAGTTCGAGTTTACGAACGTTAAATGTGTGCCGTATGACCTAAAGTTTAACGATTTTGAACATTGCTATTTGAAATCGGTAAATCGAACCTACAAATATGTGTCCTTAAAATGCAGACTGTTTCAAACTCCAGTCACCAAAGTCAGGGTAAGAAACAACTTAAAAATGTTCTATATATACCAAAAACTTAAGATTGCATCTTCTTTTAGTTCAAGTTATCTTTGTTTAAACGATTTAATGGCTATAGACCCTTCATGTATAATGTGTCGGTGGATGTCTGCAAGTTCCAATTAAATCGGAATGTGAACCCTATAATGAAATTCTTTTATGACGTCGTTGCGCCTTATTCGAATATTAATCACACGTGTCCCTTCAATGTAAGTTTAAGAGTTCAAAAATTAAATTTTTTACTTTAATAATAATTTTCTTTTGCTTTCAGGAGGATCTTGTATTTGAAAAGTTGCCGATTGACTTTCTAAATCATCGGTTCACTGATGTTCTTCCCTTTCCCGAAGGCGATTACCTGGTGGAAACCAACTGGATAGCCTACGATATTACAAGAGCCGTAGTTAAATTCTATGGAACCCTTTCATAGATTTTAGGTAAATCACTATTGTTGTTGCGAAAATGTATGTTTAATTATTTTATAATGATTTTCTTGATTACCTAGGAAAATATAGAAAAATACAAGCAATAAAAGAAATAATGTGTTATTATTATGCTTAGTAAAACTTCGTTGGGATTTGGGCTTGAGGCTAGTTTTTAAATTGTGACTAAAATATATATAAGCAAAATTCTACTAACTTCTAACTTCTTCTAATTCACACATTACTTAAATACAACAGATTTTTAGCTTTTTAATTCATTCGAATCTCATCAAGAGTATCATTTTTGGTAATATCCTTACCTCAATATTCACCATTTTTACTCTTCTGCAAATATTCCAATACTACATACGCTCGTCCGTGACTATCAAATGTTTTTAGGTACTTAATAAGTTGTGTATCCGTTCAATTAATCTATAAATGTTCATAAATCAAAAACACATTTAGACCAAATGTATGTAAATTAAAACCCACTTAATTCCCTGCTCAGTAGAGTCGAAGTATTGCGAAATGTTGCCTTTCCGTAAAATAAATTTGTTTGTTCAACTCATCCTGGTTCTACATTTAGCGAAAGATGTATGTATGTCTCGAAACAATAAAAATATATACTAAATATATTAATCCTGCAGATATCATCTAAATTTGAGTTCACGAACATCAAATGTGAAACTTTCTATCCGACATTTAATGACTTTGAATATTGCTTCATAAAATCGGTCAACCGGACCTATAAGTATGCGTCACTGAAAGCCAGGCTGCATCAAACTCCCATAACTAGGATCAAGGTAGGAACTAAATTTGAACTGTACTATATATTCTGAACTCTTAGATATCTTCGTTCTTCAGTTTCATATGGCGATTTACCAACGACTTGGTGGATATAGACCCTTCCTGTACAATATAACAATCGATGCCTGCAAATTCCAGAGAAATCGGAAAAGATACCCTGTTGTGAAATTCTTTTTCGATACAGTTGTACCCTATACGAACATTAATCATACGTGCCCTTATAGTGTAAGTTTACTTTTGCTTTCTTTAACGTAACTTCAAATTTTTTATTCGGTTTTTTAGCACGATATTATAGTTGATAAGATGCCTATCGATTTTATCGATCATCGTTTCACAGATATCCTGCCTTTTCCCAAAGATGATTACATGTGAGAATCAAACTGGATTGCCTATGATATCAATCGAGCAGTTGTCAAATTCTATGGAACACTTTCATAAAATTAAAATAAATTGCTCCTGTTTTTGTAAACGTGGTATAATAATTAATGGAGGCTATCTTGATTAGCTTGGAAAATATACAATAATAAAAGCAAAAAAAAAATAATATCGGCCATGGAATCGGCTTAGTAAATCTTCGTTGGGATTACAAATTGTGACTGAATAAAGGATGAACAACAATTTTATCAACGTCATTACAATTTAAACGTTCTGTAAAATTATCAAATTTCTTTATGCCAATTAATTTTTAGCTTTTGATTTCATTCACTCACACAATATCAACTATTTTCACTCTTCCATTATTATTACAAAACATCCAAGAGGTACACATTGCCATTTAAGTTTATAAACTCTAAATTCAGCAACGCTCGTCCGTGACTATCACTTGTTTTTAAATACTTAATAACTTATTTATCCGTGCAATTAAAATATAAATGCTTAATTTTCTGAGAGACAGAGAAACTAGTATATATAAATAGAAGTCCACTTAATTCCCTGCTCAGTAGAGTCGAAGTATTGCGAAATGGTGCCTTTCCGTAAAATAAGTTTGTTTGTTCAACTCATCCTGGTTCTACATTTAGCGAAAGAAGTATGTATGTCTCGAAACAATTTAAATATATACTAAATATATTAATCCTGTAGATATCTGCTAAGTTCGAGTTTACAAACATCAAATGCGAAACTTTCAGTCCAACATTTAATGACTTTGAATACTGTTTCCTAAAATCGGTCAACCGGACCTATAAGTATGCGTCACTGAGAGCCAGACTGCATCAAGTTCCCATAACTAAGATCAAGGTAGGGACTAACTCTAAACTGTTCTACATATACTGAGTCCTTAAATAACTATCTATTTCAGGTTCATTTTGTGCTTTATCAACGACTTAATGGATACAAGCCGTTCCTGTACAACATGACAGTTGATGCCTGCAAATTCTTAAAAAATCGGAAACGATACCCTGTTGTGAAGTTCTTTTATGAAATAGTGGAAGCATATTCGAACATTAATCACACGTGTCCATACAGTGTAAGTTTACTTTGGCATTCCTTAACGAAAAATTAAAGTTTACATTTGCTTTTATTAGCATGATGTTATATTTGATAAGCTGCCGGCGAATTTTGTCAATCACCGTTTAACAGATATCCTCCCTGTACCCAAAGGCGATTACATGTTGGAAACAAACTGGATTGCTTATGATATTAATCGAGCAGTGATCAAATTCTATGGAACCCTTTCATAAATTTTTAATAAATCGCTCCTGCTTATGTGAACATGTGCGTTTAAATATTTTTTTAAGAATTTCTTGATTAGCTGGAAAAATATTAGGAAATAAAGGCAGTAAAAGTAATAAACTCTAATTATCGTTATTCCCCCGTGAAACTTCGTTGGCATTTTGAAATTGTGACTTATAGATCAACGACAACTTGTATTAACGTTGTTATAATTTTCACATTCTGTATAATTATCTAGTTATTTAAATACAACTAATTTTTGCCCTGGAATCGTGTCGTGTATTTGGTACTATTCTTACCACAATATTCACTATTTTCACCCTTCCATAAATACTCCAATAAATACTACAAAAAATGTATACATTGCCATATTTGTGCCTATATTATAAATTCTGATACACTCGTTCATGATTACCAAATGTTTTTAAGTACTTAAAACATTATTTATCCGAGCGATTAATCTATTAATGGTTATTATTCAGAGAGACATACAAACTGGTATATATAAAAACATACCACTATATTGCCAGATCAGTGCAGTTTAAGTCGTGCTAAATGTTGATTTTCCGTAAAATGTGCTTATTTGTTCCACTCATTGTGGTTCTACATTTAGCGGAAGAAGTATGTATGTCTCGAAACAATAAAAATATATACTAAATATATTAATCCTGCAGATATCTTCTATGTTCGAGTTTACGAACATCAAATGTGAAACTCTCCATCCAACATTTGTTGACTTTGAATATTGTTTCTTAAAATCGATCAACAGGACCTATAAGTATATGTCCGTAAAAGCCAGACTGCTTCAAAGTTTTACGAAATCAATTTTTTTCGGAGTAACAATAAATGAAAATCAGAACAATACTTCAGCTAATGCCTCAGGCGACCCACCCTTCTGCCTTAAATCTACACCAGGAGTTAGGGCCAAGACGCTGGCGAGAAGCAACCCCCCTCGGTACTCGGTCTCTATTAAAATATGCGCATATGTAATAAGTAAACCACTAAGCAGACACCGATGGACCACAACGACGACCAAAAACGAATCAACCACTTAACACCCAATTGAAAAGTGTGACCCAGTTTTAAAGGAAGATTTGGCAAGCGTTTAATGTAATTGCCAAAGTCCATTTGCGGCATCGGCATATCGACATATGAGGAATATTCGAATGTTTTGAAGGCAGCAGCAGCACATATGGGAGAATCGAATCCTACGTAATGGATGCCATAATTCCGCGCTAATGTTGCAAAAATGTGCAGAGCTGAAAGAGCAGCTCGCAGCAGCCCAGTGACAACAATGGAAACTAAGCTCATAAATTACCATGACAATGGAATTATACTCTCTAATCCACCCCGAAAAGTTATTGAACTCTCCAGCCAGCATCCAGCAGAAGCGTAAATCTTGCCAGCCTGTCATAAATTCAACTGTTTTCGCATTCGATTTCGGCTTTTAGCGAGGCGAAAAATAAAATAGAATAATATTTATCCGCGTGAGGCAATCGCAGAAAATGAAAAAGCAATTTTAATGCAATTAGCATCAGGAGGAATGCCAACCAAAAAGTGGTTACCATTTATTTTTCCTTCTTTTCTCTCTATATTTTTCACAATTATTTTTCGTTTAAGGCAGACTTTGCCGGAAAATGTAGAGTAAATTTATTCCGCATGATTAATTCAAGATTCGATTTTGGAAAATCAACAGCCAGGCGAACGAAAAATAAAGCTGAGCAAGTAAAATATTTGTTCAAGGTGTTTGCAGAACTTGCAGAAGCGCTGGCAAACGAAAAATCAACGAATCGAAGTCATTACATATGATAATGCAGGCAAACTAATGTAATGAAAATTCAATGAGCCCACGAGCCACATAAATTATTGAATTTTTATCGAAGCGAAGAGGAGCAGAGCTTAGCTTGAGAGTTGTAGAAAAATAGGTATTATTATTATTATGTTATGAAACATCTCTCAAAAAAGGTAAACTTGGATACTTTGGTCAATAAATCATTTCTAATAATATATAAGCATTTTTATAATATTTATTAATTTTTAGACATTTGTAATCTAAATATTGACTATAATTCACATTATAACTCTTCCTTAATAATGAATAGATTCAAATGAATCTGAAAACTTTAAAAAATTAACAAACTTCATCTATAACTTTAACTAAAACTTTAACTAATTGAAATGTAGTATCAGAAAATAAGAAATTCTTTATACTTTTGTATATCGTAAAGTCAAAAATCCTATAATTCATCATCTTTTATTGTTCATTCTATTTTAAACCAGAAATTAGAGATCACTAAAAAAGATATCCAAGGAATTTAGCTCATCTAAATGTAGATCTCACAAAAGATTCCTATCAAATTAATGGCATTTCATCCGCTCTGCCAACGAAATCCAAAAAGTAGATCCATCTAAAACGAAGTCAATTGGGAATTTCGCTACAACCGCAACTGATCGGAGCACGGATGCCTGGATACGGATGGGTATATGCCCGAAGGGACCAGCATATGCTGATGCCACATTAGATCGACAACTCACTTGTCAGTCTGTCCTACTTTATATGGCACCCCACCAGACCAGCCGGCGATGTTTATCGCTCTGGCGATGCACCAGTTCCAATCAGAGAGTCAAAGACCGAAAGGCACCCTAGGGATCAGGGGAAACTGGAAACTGGGAAAACTGGGTACTCCTCACTGGGAACCAGAGAACACCGGCTAGCATCCCGCGGAGCAGCGCATTTTCCCGCGCATATGTCAGCATTTTTTCAAATTGGAATCGAAAAACGCTGCACTAACAGCATTTTGTGGTTTTCAGCATAATTAAAGGCAGACGGAGAATGGAAGAAAGAACCCTCCTTTTTCGGCACCGCCCCGGACAGATCGTAAACGTCGAAAAACGTAAGGTGTCCCTGGACGGGGTTGCTATTGAGGATTCATGAGGAGTGGTTGGCAATTGGGAGTTGTGAGTTGGGAGTGCAGTGTTCGGCGAGTTAACAAAGCCATCAATGGACCATAAACTAAACACTTTTTAAATGCTGAACGAAGGCTGGGCAAGGCAAAGTATCCTCGGAGAGTCCTTGTTGGCACACTGGGAAAAAATAAAAATACATTTATTCAATGGGTTGACTTTATCCAACAAAGTCATTTAATATTTGGATGTTAAAGAAAAAGGGAAGGGAAACGAGATTATCGATATTTAATTGTATTTGAAACGATAAATTCGATAGTTTTCGATCTTTAGTTTTATTTTATAGATAGTTTCATCATTTTTATCGGGGCTTTGAATGAAGCTTAAATTCATATTAGTGATAGACTTGTAAAGGTCTACATGATCCATGACTTTTCGATATATTTCGATATTTTACTTTTGACTTTAAATGGTTTTCTTCAATATATGTTTTTTGTATAAGTCATAACAGATTTTACTTAGTTGATCCATATTTTACCATTATCATTGGATTTATTAATACACACTTTTAAATTTTTTCATATAGAATTACAATTTTCTCTCTCTGTATCCATGCAAAAATCGCACAGATGTTTGCTCGGCACGAGGACATGTAACAAACGCACTCTATTAAAGGGTAGTTTTCATCATTTCCGAGCACCGCACAGTTGGAGTTCCTGCAATTGGAACTATGCCCTGCATTCCGGGCTGATTAGATCTGATTTCGCAAGCCGATTCCGAATCCCTGTCAGCCGGAGAGACACTGTGAAACAGGTTCTAACAGGACGACAACAGGGTCACAATTTATGGCACCAGAAAACGTATTGAGCAACTTTAAATGCGGGTCATCCCGGAGTGGATGTTCGGGGAGGATGAGTTGGCCGGAGCAAAGAGCCCAGAGCCCAGAGCCAGGACCCAAGGTGGTGGCAACTGGTGGTAATGACGGTGTCGTCTGGTGGTGACTTGGTGGTCGCTTCATTTGTGCAGCTTCGCTGAGCATACGCTGCACATCCGCCAAATGTTGCATGTTTTCCTTATGAATATGTTTTACAAGTGGAACTGTGAGGGCTTTTTAAGCACCGATCTGATTGTTCCCCTTAGGGCTTGGTGAAAAATATAATTGTAGTGGAGGTTGTTTTTATATTAATAAATATTTTAAATATTTTTTTTAAAATATAATCTCGGGTTTTATTTGTTTACAAATATATATTTGAATATAATCAGTTTTATGCGTATAATTATTTGTAAATCCTGTGAGAATTAATCTAAGGGATCTTATGACTGACGGTTATAAGCCCTGCCTATTTTTTAACAAAAATATTCTATTACTACTACTTTTTAAAATTTATAAACGTAATTATTTATTACATCAAAACCCCTTAAAGAAAACCTATTAAAATTAAAATAAAAACTCCTGTAAAACTCTGCTAAGTTTACTAAAAAATTCTGCAAGTCTCGCCTTAACACCCTGCAAAAGTTAAAGGACCTGGAGTGGATGTTCCTGTTCCTCGCCCACTTGAGGGGGGAAGAGGACTCTTGACATTATGGCTAGCCAGAACCAGAACCGGAGTCCAACACTTGGCAACTGTTGCGAGCTGCGTTTCCGATTTACGAGTTCGAATTGTTGTATGTGGCTGAGGGGGCGGCTGTGGCATATAGTCGAGCCGAGGCGCATAAATATTTATGCCGCATTCGATTGAGAGCTTCTCAAGCGTAAGCATTTTAGATAAAGCCATCGAATCAGAGGCACCCCACCTCCAGGCCAGGTGCAATTGTGGCCCGTTGCCGTTTTGCATATGACAGCAGAAATGCCTGTGCGGCGGCTTGATTGCGGGCGAATGTGCGTCTCGAGCTGATTGGACTGGGGAAGCACTGGAAAACGCACCCGAATCGAGAGCACATCGTCGTCAGCCGATTTGTTAACCAAAACAAGAGCTCTAATCCGGGCAGAAGACTAACCCAGGCCCGAGGCCACCGCAAGAGCCACCACCAGCGACGCCTTGTTAGCGCGACCGACGACCCTCATTCGCGCGTTTTTAATCCGTTTAAATGAATGACAGTCTAA